TGCGATGTGTCCTGCTAGATCTGTTCTTTCAGTATCCATCTTCCTGCAGAGCCTTTGATGTTCCTCAATTCATATGCTGATTTTTTTTCCCAGTTTCACCAATATATTTATGTTTGCAGGCATCGCATGTTATTCAGTAAACTCCTGAGCAATCCAAATTGTCTAACCTCTCATATTGCGTGGGCGGATTTGTGAAGAGTGTTGTTTTTTTCGTCCGTGGCCACCTGAATCTTCCATTTTCTTAACATTGGTAGTAGTTTTTGAGCTATTTTAAAGGGAGGGAGGTATATTCACTTGTGTGAATCTTTCTCCATTTTTATCTTTCTTTCATAATCCCTGTCCTGCCATCAGGTCTTCATGGTCAGTATGTTTCTTTGCATTACTTCTCTCGCGTATCCGTTACCGAGGAATTTCTACCAGGGCCGTTAGCGCCTCTTCTCCAGAAATATTTGTGTACATAGTTTGTACATCAAAACTTAACAGTAAATCTGTTTCTTCAGGTGTCATGTTTTTGATCCTCTGAGAAAATTTATATGAGGGTATTTGATAATCTTGCATTTGCATTCTTGGTTTTAGACTTATAAACTTTACTAACTTGTGTGTTGATCCATACTTGTTGTTAACTATCAGCCTTAGTGGTCCTTCTTTATTGTGTAACTTTGCTAACCCGTAGGCTGTTAGGGGTTATGTAGCCATTTATATTAGTGAATTTATCGTCCATCCATTAATCTCCTGGTTCCTATGCATATTTTTCAGCATGATCCGTAAGACTCCATTGATCTTTATTGTTGGGCATTTATTTAGAATAAGCTATTCATGGGATTGTAAGGAAGAACAGAGTGAAGAAGTTCCATAAATGAAGCGAAGATGTTTTTAATAGAAGCAGTTAGCTCGAATAAACAAATACAGCCTTATTTATCCGACGTAACACGTGAATAGGGAGAGGGATTGGGTCAGAGAAATAGGATATTATGAGCAAATTAACTATTAATCGAGTTGAGATGTAGCAGGCGTCCCGAGATAGATGTACACAGTTTGCTCAGGTTAAACGGGTTTAAACTAGGAGATGATGCGTGAAGGTAATGCCTAATATCCGCAACCATGGGAATCAGAGCCTAGGCGCTCTGAAGATAAGGCGACTTTGTACGTACCACTGAAGGCTTGAGAACTAGCATCTGGAGTAAAAGTACACTGGGGCTAGAACCGAGTTAGTTCACAGGTTAAATAGAAACACCAAAGATGTTCTCCTCCAAGAGTAATTAATTTCTAATGTTTCACTAAAATCTATTATTACAAAAATATCTATTCATTTTTTAATCTAATAAAACTCAATTGCAAAATCTATTTCTTAGACCTAGTGGTTTACATGCCTTATAAATTTAAGCGTGGAGCAAGATGTCCCAAAAGTAAAAATAAATGTTTCTCAAAAATATAGTTACTCATACTCTTTTTGTTAAATAATTATTTCTTGTTTTATTTATTGAATATTTTAAATTATACTTTTTAAGCTTGTTCAGTGATCTTTAAATAAATATGTCTTTC